ATTTAAATGAAGCAGTGATTATTTAAATCGCCGCTTCATTTCCCTTTGCCTACAACCCTCATCTACATGGCTCCGTCGATAGAGCCATGTAGTCTAGACACAGCCATAGAGTTTAAGAATATCAGAGGCATTACTTGTATATCAGAGGCCACTAAATACTACCCACCCACCACTGCACCAAAACAAAAACCAGAATTAGAACAAAGCATTACAGACCTCAGGAGGCTAAACGGTTGTGTGCCACAGGCAGAGAACTGGGGTGCAGGGGGTAATGTAGAGGGGAACCCAACTTGATATCAACATGATAATCCAATAGTGTCTGCTGCACATACTCTACGTATTACTGGTAATTTTCTTTGTAAATAAAACCACTGATATATATAGAGCTCTTCTGTGTTTATACTGGCCATCTGAACAAGAGCACATTTACAGTTTAGGGTCTCATGTTCTCATGAAGAGAAAATTGACTCATTATGAACCAGGCAAAAAAATAAGCTGATAAATTTATGGCTGTGAATACCAAAATCAGATATCAGAGTTTAAGTCTTTATATGAGATTTTTATTTATGAAAATAAATTCTCTTCATCCACTTGCCTCAATTTATTTTGACAGGCAATAAAAACATCATTAGCTTGTTCTCTATAGCATGGGTGGGAAAGTATATTTTGTACATCGGCTGGTGATTCCTCATGACAATTTTTGCAAGGCTGCTTTATAATCTTTATGCTTTTTTTGCTCTTCTGTGTACAAGAGGCAATTTATTTTAATAGAGTTCTCACGGACAGATCTACCTATGTTAAAACAATCAGAAGGAGTGCAGTAGGGTGAGATAAGAAGCAGCACTGACGAGCATCTGACAAGTCCTAGAAAATGTTTTAAATTGAAATATAAAAGTGTGTTAAAATAATATAGGTAGAATTCATTTAAATAGAATAATTTGAAAATGTTATTTATTAATGTATTTTATATTATGTCACCACCACCACCACCACCACCTTTTCAGCAGTGAGGAGAGAGTCTGAATTTAAAAAGGCCGTGTTTTACAAAAGTTAATTTGATCCCAATACTTAGTCTTCATTTGTTTGACATCAGCATTATTATAGCAATCCAATCCAATGTTAAAAATTATTTAGATTTTCAAACTTGAGTACCTAAAGTTAGGCACCTGAATCTATATTTAGTAAACAGAATTTTCAGGAAGGGGTGTTTAGCAGCAACAATTCCCAAACAAGTTAGCTAGACTTCTGGGGGCTCAACACTTCTAGAAGTAATGCCACTTTTAGTTTAGTACCTAAACTTCAGGCATACAAGTTTGAAAGTTTCAATCAATGACATTAGGTATGCATGGGAAAGGATAAGTAGCAGCATTATATGGATCTCACTATCCAAGAAGGGGTGTAAATAGTTAACGTACAATAATACCAGAAGTGTTATATAGATATTAATTCATAGAGGCCAGGCATAAACCACAGACATATTGGTGTATTTATGTTGCTCAGTAGTGTGAAAAATCTATGCTCCTGAACAAGAGAGTTATGCCAACATAACTTTATGTGTACAAGGGCTATGTTGGTGGGAGAACTTCTCCTGTCAGAATAGGTGCCATCTTCATGGAGATGGATTAACTACACAGATGGGAGAAGCTCTTTCACCAGCATAGAAGCCTGTTCACTGTAAGTGCTACAGTGGTGCAGCTGTGCCTATCCGGCGCTTCAAGCCTACACCTGTCCTAAGAAGCAACATGTAAGGTAGCTGTTACCACCTTTTTGAGAGATGAGACAATCGAGGTTCAAAATACTTGCCCAATGCCACACTGTCAATCCGTGGTGGAGGTGGGACTAGACTCCAAATCTTCTTTCTCCACTACCTATTCTTTAGCCATGAAATCATACTTTCTCTTTAAAAAAGGAGAGAGATAAGCCTAAGAGAAAGTCCAAGAGAAATTAGAAGTTTTCCAGGCCTATGCAGGTCTTGGGGAAACATTCCCTATAGTTTACATCTGTATGGGAAAAGTGTAAGTCATTCCATCATACTATTTCCCACAATACTTCCAACCCCCAAGCCTCTTCATTATGTATCATCAAATGAAATGGACAAGTCCTTTTTTGCAGAAACTACATGAAGTTTCTTCCAAAATAACTGTTCAGAAACAAAGCCTACCTTCTTTGCAGGTCTTTCCATTCTCAAGGAGTTTCACACCAGTGGGACAAGCACACCGATAAGAAGGCTGGATAGGAGACATCAAACACAAGTGGGAGCAGCCACCATTATTACTTCCACATGGGTTTGTAGCTGTTGAATATAAATAACACAGATTAATGTCTTTGATAACAAATGGCCATATCTTGCATGTCAGGAGGCATGAGGCTTTTGAGTTGTACGAGTCAATGGTAGGAAAGTGGATAAAGGAGGAAATAATAAACACAGAACAAGCAAAAGTTAATTCCAAGCATTAAGAGCAGGTAATGATTGTACCCAATTTCACAGACATTGCATATTTCCTCTCTTGGAAATGTGGCATTTGGTTCTACACAGCATTCTTGTTTCCTCTGTGCTCTTATCAGTCTCACAAACTGCTCACCGCCAAAACAAGCAGCAGCATGTACACAAATACAACATGCAAGAAAGATAAAGTCACTAAAAGGTTAAGATGGTGGCTATTGCACAGAACTGAGCTTGTTTAACACCATTAGCCACATTAACAACAGCTTCCATTCAAGAAAAGACTTTTCAGGTAATGCTCAAGAGAGGAAAAAATAAAAGTCCCCTATTGTTTAAACCTTCAGCACATGGCTCCCTTACAAAAATACATAAAATGCAATGCTGTTCAGTATCCCTATGGCAGGCAAGAGGAGGAGCAGGAGTGAGATGTTTTATTCATGTTAAAAAACAATGTAAAGAATATTCAGTGTCCCTTTGGGTAGCTTCTCAAATCCCTTGCTTAGAAAACTGTTGCATCTTAAAGCAAATGGAGTCAACCGGCTCCCTCACAATTTTTCCTATCCCCAAAAAGAAAGGCATATCAGACATCTACAGATCAGTTCCATACTGCAATTAGGGAAGAAGGAGGACAAAAAACAAAAAACAAGGCTTCTTACCATTTGGCTGCCTCTGTTGGCTGAAAACATGGATATCCATGGGAGAGAAAATGTTGGAATGTATTTCATGCAGGTCCTCCCCAGAGGACTTGTTGCAGGCCAAGATAGAATGAGTGTTCCAGTCAGTCCAGTACAACATGTCCCCAAACAAAGTCAAAGCAAAAGGATGTGGAAGGGATCCTTCAACCACTGCTCGCCTAGTAGAGGACAAGGAAGAAAACACATGTTCACATTTAATTAAAAGTACTCTTGTTTTGAATGTTAAGTACTATGGCATTTATGAAAAGGTATTATATTTATAGCATTGCTCACTAAAGCCTTCTGTTTATCCATGGAAAAGCACATTAGCAACAAAGGGCAATTCACTTTCTATCGGCCAATCTATTGTTGCCAGAATGCCAACAAATGCCAGCTGTGAGGGGTATTTAGATCCACTAATAACTGCTCCTTGGGCACTTTTATAGTGCTTTATCTTTTCAAAGTATTGCACAGAGCCATACTGAGATTACCAACTCATTTCAGACCTGCCAAACTACTGATAAATAATTCAAGTCACTTCCAACCTTGACACATATATAGAATTAAAAAGGTTTGTGATCTACTACCAAGCTCCTGAGCCAATCATCTCTTCCAGCTTTACTATTATTTTCAACTATTAAAAGAATAGCTACAGTATTAAAATGTTAATTATTACAAAGTGGTTAAATACCAGAGTTCTTTTTATGATAGTTTATTACACTAGATTGTTTTAATGTTTATTGCAAGCAGGGTCATTAAGAGTTACATCTATTGGGCTTCCACATAGCTATGACATCTCTTCTCACCCCAGTTTCCCCTTCTATGTGGTCCGTAGCCATGCCCAAAATGTCATATAAACTTTGGAGAAGACATGCTCAGGTTTCTGCTATGTTGAAATCAACCATCCATGAATCTGGCCTCACCAGATTCAAACTGAGTAATTTATTGCCTTTTTTAAAAAAGCAGCTGTTCTACAACACCTGCACTAGGGACGGAAGAATCCCAAGCATTGTCACATGCTGGGGACCGACTGGTTAAGTAGCAGTTCAACAGGAAAGAACCTGGGGATTACAGTGGATGAGAAGCAGGATATGATTCAACAGTATGCCCTTGTAGCCAAGAAGAATAATGGCATATTAGGGTGCATTAGGAGGAGCACTGCCAGCAAATCTAGAGTAGTGATTATTCCCCTTTATTCAACACTAGTGAGACTACATCTGGAGTATTGCATCCAGTTCTGGGCCTCCCACTATAGAAAGGATGTGGACGCATTGGAGAGGATCCAGCGGAGGGCAACCAAAATTAGGGGACTAGAGCACATGACCTATTTGAGAGGCTGAGGGATTTGGGCTTATTTAGTCTACAGAAGAGAAAAGTGAAGGGCATTTGATAGCAGCCTACAACTTCTTGAAGGAAGGTTCCAGAGAGGATGGAGAGATGCCATTCTCAGTAATGGCAGATGGCAGAAAAGAACGGTTACTTACCTGTAACTGTTGTTCTTCGAGATGTGTTGCTCATGTCCATTCGAAGTAGGTGTGCGTACCACGTGCACCGCGTCTTCCGGAGCATTTTCCCTAGCGGTACCCGTAGCGCCGGCAGGGCGCCCTCTGGAGTGGCACCGCCATGGCGGGGCATAAGTACCCCTGCCGGCGTTGCCCCACCTCAGTTCCTTCTTGCCGGACACTCCGACAAAGGGGAGATAGGGTGGGAGTCGAATGGACATGAGCAACACATCTTGAATAACAACAACAAGTAACAAGTAACCGTTCTTTTCTTCTTCGAGTGGTTGCTCATGTTCATTCGAAGTAGGTGACTACCAAGCTAACCCCACGGAGGAGGGGTCGGAGCAGTCATACCACCAGAGTCATGAAGTGAGGTGAACAATAAACTGATTTATTTGAACAATTCAACACTGATAAGGTACCATTTAAGAACAAAGACAACCGGAAACATATTCACATATTTACATCACAGATTCGAGGACTGCAGAGCCCACCCTTGCATCCGCCCTGGCCTGCTGAGGTAGCGCATAGTGTGTTGTAAACGTGTGAAGGGAAGACCAGGTGGCTGCCCTGCAAATTTCTGTGATTGGTACCTGGGCACCAAAGGCCACCGAGGACGCCTGCGCCCTGGTGGAGTGTGCCTTCACCCTGGGTGGGTTTTTACCAGCCAGGTGATAGCATTCTGTGATGCACTGCACCACCCATCTTGATAGCCTTTGCGTGGAAATAGGCGACCCTTCGACCCTGTCCCCGAATGCAATAAACAACTGTTGTGATTTACGGAACAGCCTGGTCCTATCAATGTAGAACGCCAGCGCCTGCTTGGCATCCAGGGAGTGCAGAACCTGCTTCTTAGAGGAGGCGTGGGGTTTTGGGAAAAACACCAGGAGATAAATCGCCTGGGACAGGTGGAATGGTGATACCACCTTCGGGAGGAAGGCTGGATGAGGCCGTAGCCTTACATTGTTATTGGAAAAAACAAGGTTGGGCGGGTCTTCAGTTAACGCCCTTAGTTCCGACACCCTTCGAGCTGACGTAATAGCCACAATGAAAGCAACCTTCAATGAAAGGTGCTGCAGGGAACACGTGGCCAGCGGTTCAAAGGGAGGTAGCATAAGCCTGTGGAGGACCACGTTAAGGTCCCAGGCGGGAAGCGGGGCCCTCACCAAGGGGTACAGCTTTTCCAGGCCAGTAAGAAACCGTTTAACCACCGGGTTAGAAAAAAGGGAGACTCCTGTCATTCCGACATGGAAGGCGGAGAGAAATGCCACATGGACTTTGATAGAAGAGAAAGATAGGCCACTAGACCGAAGCTGGAAAAGGTAGTCAAGAATAGTTGGAATAGGAGACGAGGACGAGTGTACTCCTCTTCGGGACGCCCAAGACAAGAAGCGCCACCATTTGGCAGTGTACGACTGTCTAGTAGACGGTTTCCTGCTACTGAGGAGAACCATCTGAACCTCTTGGGAACATTCCCTTTCAGGTTGGTTCAACCACGGATAAACCATGCCGGTAGGCGGAGAGACCGGAGATCCGGGTGAACCATGATCCCCTCACCCCAGGGTTGAGTTAGCAGATCCCGGACTGGAGGGAGTGCTATTGGGTCCTGGACAAGCATGTCCACCAGGATGGGGAACCAGAACTGTCTGGGCCACCTGGGGGCTATGAGAATGATCAAGGACCTAAATGTCCTTGCCCTGGTCAATACCCTGGAAATTAGGGGAAACGGGGGAAAGGCATAGAGAATGCCCTCCGGCCACACGGTCGTCAGGGCATCCCCCAGGGAATATTTCCCCAGTCCCAGCAGGGAACAGTAGTTCCTGCACTTGGCATTGCTTGCCGAGGCGAACAGGTCTAGGCGGGGATAACCCCACCTGCAGAAAACCTGGCGGAGAGCAGAATCCTTGAGGGTCCACTCGTGGGCTCCAAAGGATCTGCTCAGCGTGTCCGCTAGCAGGTTTTTGCACCCCGGGAGGTATCCCGCTTGAGGTGTGATACAGTGCGTGACACACAAATGCCAAAGTTGCAGGGCCTCTTTGCAGAGGGGAGGTGATAGTGCCCCATCCTGCTTGTTGAGGTAAAAGACAGCCGCTGTGTTGTCCATATGAACCAGGATCGAGCAGTGAGCGAGCCTTGGCAGGAAGGCTTCGCAGGCTCGCCTCACTGCCCGCAATTCCTGGACGTTTATGTGTAGGGCTCGCTCGGAGGGGGACCAAAGGCCTTGAGTTCTGTGTCGCCCCAGGTGAGCTCCCCAGCCCAGGTCGGACGCATCGGTGACCAGCGTCAGGGAGGGGGGAGGGTACTGAACGGGACCCCACTGCGTACCACAGGTTCCTGGGTCCACCATAGGAGGGAGTCCAGAATTTCTTTGGGCACCGTAATTATCGAGTCCCTGAATTGTATGCTGCACATCCGAAGGAAGTCCTGAGACGTGGAGCCATGCCCCCCGACGCATAACGACACCAGTCGCCATTGTGCGGGCCGCCTGTCCAGACTGTCCAGAGCCGCCTGGAGAGCAGTGTCCAGAGCCCTCTGAGGCAACAGCCGCGAAGTCCTGGAGGTCCTCCACAGGGAGTCTGTCTCGGAACTTTTCGACGGCCTGCCAGGCGTTAAAGGCATACCTACTCAGCATCGCCTGCTGGTTTGCGATGCAGAGTTGTAACGCCCCCGTGGCGTAAACCTTACAGCCCAACAGGTCCAGCCGCTTAGGCTCCCTAGCCTTTGGAGAAGGACCCAGCTGAGGGAGTCTTTCCTTTTGGGCCGCGGCCTGCACGACCAAGGACCCGGGGGTGGGTTGTGAGTACAGGTAATCATGCCCCGAGTTTGGGGTGTAATAACGCCTCTCGACCCCTTTTAAGGTAGGGGTCAAGGTTGCCGGCATTTGCCACAGGGCGTTGGTAATCTTTGATACCGTTTTGTTAAGCGGTAAGGCCAATTGCGCAGGCGCATCTTCCGTGAGGATGTACACCATTGGATCCGTGTCCTCAATGACACGTTCCACCGGAACGGCCAAGTTGGCAGCCATGCAGCGGAGGAGGTCCTGGTGCGTGCGGGCATCCATTGACGGCAGACTCGGTGCGGGGTCTGCTAGTGCCTCGTCTGGGGACGACGACGATGACGACTCCTGAAGTGGCACAGGAACAGTTGTCGCCAACTGCGGAGCCGTCTGAGTAGCTTGCGCTCCCAATGGGTCCACCTCCGGTGCCGGCGGTTGCGGTGCCGCTGGATCGGGTTGAGGTGCCCGGAGAGGGGAGGGAGGGGCTCGGGACAGGCACGCCGATGGTCAGGAACGGTGCCCTGAAGTCCCCGACCCCAGAGAAGGAGGCAGCTGACCTTGCCACTGATGGTAGGCCCAGGGGGTCCAGAAAGGCCACTGTGGGTGCGGAGGCCACGTTTGTGGAGTGTGGTCCCTCCTATGTCTGGACCTGGACCTATGGGTTGAGGATGTCCTCGAGGAACCCGAACGGATGGAGGAAGCATCCAAGTCCGAGGAATAATCGGACTCCGGCCAGGGTGGAGCCAATGAAGAAAGCGGGGCAAACCTTGCCATTGACTCGGGCTTACCCGCATGAGTACGTCGTGGCCGCACTATCTGTGGGGCCGGGGGACCCATGCCCTGTGTCGGAAGGCTCGCTGACGGTTGCGGCACCGGGGGACCCAGACCCAGTGCCGAGGGT